ACGAACTTTGCTTCAACCTCACTATGTCCAGGCATCAAATGCACATCAGGCCATCGTATTCGAGGACAGTTAAAATCGCCCATAAGCAGAAAGTGTGGACGACTCATGTGGGTCCGAAGATGGGGCAGCCAATCCAAACAACGACTCAGGGGACTGCGATAAAAAGCGCCCACAAGCAGTTCTCCTCGCCTGAGGCGGATGGAGCACCACAGTAGGTCACACAGGCCATCGTCACTTCGGTAGGTGCTCACAAGTCTCCCACGCAGGGAAGACCGGATGTAAAGTAAGACACCACCGTGGACATTCTTTAGTCTATTGCATCGGAAACACGAGTAACCGTTGAGTTCAAGTTCTTGGGTGTACAACTCTGCATGCAGCCATGTCTCTGCGAGTCCCACTACGTCTGGCCGCTCAGACGCACCGAAAGAACAAAGCTCATCGCGCTTATTCATGATACTGCAAACGTTTGTGAAGGCTACTTGCAGGCCGCAGCAGGAGCCACCGGGCGTGCTTGAAGTGTGAGCAGCCTGTTTATCCTGATTCGCGGATTGTTGGAAACCACCAGAAAATTTACGATATGAAGATTTGTTTCCCCCTCACCAGTGCGTCTTTTCAACTCAATGATGGCAGACTTGAGCCGCTCCCTGTCTACTGGGTCCAGGTCGGGACGAACATGGATCTTCAAACCTTTCAGCCTATTTAGGCGAGACATGATAAGTCTTGGACTGGCTTCGTCCACAAAAGTGATTCTCATAGGCCGATTTTGTTGATCACCTTGCTTTCCAAGACGGGTAATCTGTCTCACTTTTACCGAGTCCTCACCAGCGTCGAAGAGTCGATCAATTAGACCCTGTAAACACTCGACATCGTGATCGTAGCGCGCTTGGGGTGATGGATCACTGGACTCCGGTGCCTGAAAGATCACGAGATTATAACGCCTCTGGTCGGACGAGGTTGGCCTTGCAGGGCGAAGTATACTACCAGCCTAACGTGGTTTGGCTAACTGTTGACTTACAGAACGTAAACGCCCAACATTCCTTCGTAATTTCGTCCTCTGATCTTTCCACTGGTCTTCAGCACTCAGACTTTCACCTGCTGGGACATCAGTGTCCGGTGGACACAACAAAGGTAATTAATTTAGCCCAGGTGCAACTGGGCTTCTCACAACGGTTGGACTTCGTGTCAGTGAGTTTGCACGGGTAGAGGAGGACGACTGAGCCGAAACCTGAAGGCTCTTCGCGCTAGGTTGTTTGGCCAAACACACGGAGCTGTTCGCAACGAAAAGCTGAGGACTACACGTCGGCTTTACTCTTTCTGGCTGTATCTGATTTCGGCAATTTTCACATATAGTTTGGAAGAAATCATGTTGGATCTCGCGAAGGCGGTGAAAATGCTCAACTGATAATCCAACACATGAAATATGGTATTTAACTTGGCAAAATGCACACGTGAGGGCATTTGCACGGTATCCGACTAGTTTGGAGCAAGTACCACAGGATGACTGCTTCAGCATTGCGAATAATCCGAAAACAAGATGGCGGCCAATTGACGAAGAAAGTGGCGATAGCAAGATCGCCGAAACCAAACGATGAAATACAAGTATTTCTGGTCGGAAATTTCAGAATCGGAAATGAAACTGAAGTGTAGCTCAATTTCCACGAAATACTTCCAATGAACGCAGAAATTTAACACAAAGTGATCTTGTCAACACAGCCAAAAATAACCGACCGGAGGACGCTATCCGCAGTTATACTGAAAGACCAGTTAAGGCAAACAGTGTGTTCGCCAGCCATATGCGTTACGTAACGGTAAACAGACCATGATGTACTAATGTGAATAACTATGAATCAATTCAAATCAGAATTTTCGCTTCTGTCACTTTAGACGATCACTTCGTATTCCTCATTCTAGTCCTCATTTGGGAACTGTCAGGCAGTACTTTTCATCCATTATAAATAACCATTTCTTAACAGGTGCCAATATATCTATGCGCGCGACAGTATTGTTGATGAATTCACCGAGAACAACAAATGAATTGTGGGCTGAGAACGATGTGTCTTAGTTCGTGATACTTATAAGTCTATTAAATGCATTCCAGTCAACTGCTTGAAGTTCGCGAGTGAATATCAACATTGTAGTTGATGACGTATGGAATTCAATAGGTGTGTTGCAGAATAACCCTGTTGTGAAAATAGCTTGGTAATGGACTATCAGTGAATACATGGGGAGTACAAGCTACAGAGTGGTGGTAATTCTGGTGGTTTATCTGACTTGGTGGGTCCATCGACTGAAGTAGATGCAGCAGGTTATTTCCTAAAGTCCCTCAGAGCCGTTCGTATCTTCAACAAGCAGCAGTAGGTAGATTGGAATCCTGTATGCAAGTTTGATCTTGTGAGCCGTACTATAAACGGTATTGAGTACATTAATATGTCGTTGAGTTTCGCAGTGATTGGTTATGGCAGCAGATAGACACAACCCGCAATAAGTCTAATAGCTTAGATTGCTGGCCATAGTGCATTTACTAGGGCGCAGCGCAATTTGATCAGCATCATTTGCGATACTGTCTTTGTAAATGTACTTGAGGCAGCTATTGCCAAATGTTTGAAATCATCTTTGCAGAACATGTGATAGCTTTATGTCAAGGTGCGAATCACTAGATACTGATAGGCATCACATTTCAGTAATAAAGGCATTATCAGAGCTTTCCCTAACTGCAGCCTTGACAGTAACTCTTATTCGGAAAAAAGAGAGTGAATGTTAATTATGACTGTTTTGAGAGTGAATATCCGAGAAGAATATCTAGAGAATCTCTAGAGAAGTGGTGTGTTATGTAATAGTTGAATCACACTGGATATAATGACATAGATATTTCATTATGTCGATCGTTCTCTGACTCATCATGGTGGGGGATGATGGCTGGATAGGTAGTGGAGGAAGTCCGGAATACGACAGCAGAAATAGCGCATATGTTCGCAGTATACGGAGGTGGAATGATACCAAAGTTTAACAATTGTTGCTCCAAACTCTACTGTCGGTAGTCTTGTGATGAAAAGTGTGGTAGCCAATGCGTTATGGGTTTAGGCGCAGAATGCTTGTTCACCTGTGCTAATGGGCTCGTAAACTCTACAGCTTCGCTTTCGTCTATTTCGGCTTCGCACATATCTCTTCTTAAAGGTACTCTGGCTTGACTTTCGGATACTTAGCCCAATGTCGGTTTTATTTACGATTGAGGAAGCCGGAAAACATGCATTTGGTCTTGTTCAGTTTCTCTGGAAATGTCTACACCATGCAATGCTTGCTACAAATTTGTAGAGGTTCCACCGTTATTATAGAGAAGTTGAGCCGGCGCCTTCCGATTCATTTGAGTACTTCTCAATCGAACATAAATAGGCTTTAACATGCTTCATTTTGGTCAATTTCAGATGTTTTATGATTCTTATTTTGGTCCGGAGCACGACAGATCGCAGTACAGCTACTGCGACATTTTGTTTAGGTTCTTGATTTCTAGAAGAGACCCAGAATAAATTTTCAGTTTGATTGGTTGGCTTTATTAGATTACCGCACATCCCTATTGCTCTTTTGGAGAGTCTCAGAATGCCGGTGGAGACTGGAATGCATGTCATCACGTGGTCTGAAAGATGCTACTGTCTTACGTAACTCGACAATATCGCTGCGTCAGCTACGGTTCTAAGGATCGAATTGTCCAAAGTTCATTTCATTGCAAAGCACAGTCTAGATTGGGATTGCGCGTCGCGATCCAAACACACAGTGGAGTACTTCAAGGTAACACTGCAATCAGCATTTTCCTAGCATTTCGAGTAGAAACCTGTTATACTTTTTACTAAAAAGTGAAATTAGGATTATCGGATCCTTCTTGAGTTTGAAATCAGTAAGTTTAATTTACTGCAACTGGAGTCGGTCAGACGTTCATGGCACATTCAAGAAAGCAATAATCCGTCACACAGTTGCTTTAGGAATCGCCGTTATTGCACACTCCAACTGCGTATTGAGGGAACAACACCAAAGACTTTACTGGCAGACTTGGGTGCTTAAGACCACACTAGGTCGCAACATACGATAACGATCGTCATCATCATGAGGTTGCTGCCCGTACTATAGTGTCGCTCACTCGCTCGATACTACTGTATACAGAACACTGTCTCGTCCCTGGCTTCTCTGGTTCAACTGAAACTATCTAACACCAAGTGCTATTCCGTTATATTTTGCGAAGAGTACTCTTTTCGACAAATCTCCTAAGTCATTTACGATTATAAAATGGCAGAACACACATAGCTGATGAAATCAAAGAGGTGGGAATAGTGGAATCACAGCGAACAGAAACGCAAAAGTCTTGATCAAAAGAGTCCACTAACAACACGTGTGATAAAGCACGTGTTGGTTGATCGGTGGGATGAAAAACGCATCATCCAACCACTGTAGGCACACAGTGATAAAGTTAGTAAGCTAACTAATGCCAAGGTAGAAGAAGCCATTGCAGCAAAGCCTTCTGTTTGCATAATTACGGTTAAACTCTTCTAATCGCGATCGCTTCGGTCGTCCGTAAGAGTTGCTTCCTAAGACCTTTAGTGTATCGTGGCTGTACTACATGGAGTAATTGGAGGACACCAGAGGTCCTAACTCGGTGTCCGCTTTTCATCAGATGTTCCAGATTGGAACTGTTGGGGCGACTGACGATGTCTTTCCGCAAAGCCGCTGGGCAGTGCTCCGCAATGCGCTTAGACAGACGCCTGGTTGCGTGTCCCACACAACGGTAGAGTCTGACCTTATTCAGGTGAGTTATGGAATTGAAAAGAATTAGAGATTTCACGCTGCTAACTTTGTGTTGTATATCTGGCAGTTTCAAAGTATCACCATAAATGGCTGGTCTGATTCGACAGGGTGTCTTTAAGGATTAACCCACTGGAACCTGTCCAACACTAAGTAATGGTGATAGCTGATCAATTTGCATAGCCCAAAGGCATTGGTAACAACTAACTTACCCAGTTTTCTTTGGCCAGCTTAGCCAGTCTTCAATTTCAGACATGAGTAGAATGCGGCACTTGACTCAAAAAGATTGTGATCCTGAACCGAGCAGTTCAGTCGTTTACTCGTTGACTTTTGTGCAATTTAACTGTAACCAGTGCTTTCCAGGCTGCCAGATCGATAAAACCTCGTAAACGCATCCATGAGTGGTCTCTCATAGTCGATGGAGTAAAGCTCAGACGTCACAAATACACAAAACATAATACTCTACTCATGCATTGAGTGTATGCACAGTCCCACCTGAGCGCTTTTACCCGGTGCTACTTCACAACAAACAACGGACTGACAGGTAGCAAGAGTTATGTACCAATCAGCAGGCAGCCTCCAACTTCTACTTCTCCTGATTCCTAAGTCATTTTTTATTCACATACTTTGCATACACGCAGTCACTTACTTTGGCACATTGGTCCTTGTTCTAAAGGTCCCACGTAGGCCAGTAGTGTAGTTGCCTCCCGAGGTTGGACTACCAACCAGAAGTTCTTATTCAATCACGTTGAACGGTAGCCTGGATAGTAGTCCGAGATCAGAATGTGCTTACTTTGGCTTTTACTAATGCTGCAGGCATAACGGTGATTAGAAGTTTGATGATCGATTCATTCTTCAATGTTATAAGAGTAGGCTCAAGCAAAACCGACTGTTTACACTCAGTTCACCGCACATAAGAAGGGTGTGGACCGGACAGTCATTTAGGATCCAATACGTCTATGCACCAGCATTCATTAAAAGGATAAGACAAAACTCAAAGCTTTACGTGTGTGTCTATCTTGTTTATCGGGGTGCTCTAAGACTTAGGTGGCGTACTCCTTAGGGCTGCTACTGGAAACTGACTCAGCTTGCGAATGAAGTACACGAATGTCGTATTGTGAGTTGTTTGGATTTGGGCGCACGTGACCCGTGCTTACGGGTGTTTACACGCTACCTGAGCTTAAATGTAAAGTAAAAATTAGCGCTAACTGACCCTTCGCATTCGTCGATAAACAGTCCAGTTATTTAGGTGCGAATTTGAAGGGCATTGGTTGAAGTCCAACCAATCTACAGATATTTTGACTAATTAATTACGAAGTGTACAAGACACCAATTTAAAGATTATGCATTGCGAATTTCACGTGCTTACAAATTTTCGATGAATCATTATATATATATATATATATATATATATATATATATTCATCCGAGCCACTTCGTCTGATCGGTGATGCGAGTTCGGAACTTTTCCCAATGCCCTGGTTTGCAAGGTTCTGAGTTTTTTGGACATTGCGCGATGTTGGAACATTGTGCGGTCCTCCGGATTTCAATGGCCTGATGTAACCTGCTAGTCTGATTCTCAACGCCTCGAGAGAACGCTCTCAATTTAAATGTCTAATGATGGGACTGCACCCCATCCGATTTGTTAAAATGAAGCCATGTGTTATTATTTTTAAATCCCTACCACCTGTATGATAGATATATGACTACCTCCGCGGATGACTGCCTGGGATTGGCAAACTTGAATTCACTCGCGGTCTTTAATTTTCACGAGTCACTTGCTATTTCAAATCCTTAAACTAAACATGCTCTCTTAACATATTCAGCCTTGTCGCTGCATATGGAACCGCAAGATACCTATCAGTCCCACACAAAAATGTGTCCAACCTTCCGCATTTCCAAACAATTCTTAACAAGCTTTCTGCTGCTGTCTATTTATAAAATACTGGAAACCGTTAAATTTGGTGGTGTTAAACTCAAACGCTTACCACTTGAGTAATAGATTCAAACGTTTGATTATGGATGCAGCAAAAGTAATGCGCTATGACACGTTCGACTTTGCATCGTCAAACGCAGTCTGCGCCCACTTGCCGTTTTTGGTCGATCGATGTGGGCGACTCATTTGCATGATCTCGAGCCCTCTGAAATATAGTGGATGTGGTACATATGTAACCGACGTTTACACCGGTCAATTATCATGTGGCGGTGGAGGCGGAAATCAAGCGACTGCCCGCTGTCCTAGGTTCCGAAGATTGCTAAGGATTAAAGACAAGGTGAAAAAATAGATCACAGCCATCCGTCAAAATATTGTGACAAACTGGCTTTGGATAAAATGCTGTGTGACTCAGAGACACTAACCAAAATGGGTACATCAAGAATTCCCTCATTCAAATTGCGCTAGGTCCATACTAAATGTGTCAAACAGTCATTGGTTAGTATGTGAGCTACCTACATAAGGAAATGCTGTTGGCTGCTATTGATTTTGATTTCTTTAAGAAGTCTCAAACTGACAACAACAGCTAAGCGAATAGTAAACATCAAACTTACCCTATTTGGGGAAGGTGAAACAGGATAGATCCATCTGATGAGTCTCCGACCCTGCAGCATGCTATTAAAGCAAACAATCTAGATATAATCATGAAGAGTATACTCAAACCTTCGGCGAGGTACAGGCATGACGCTAAAGAGGTACAACAGCAGTTTTTGCAACTCAGGATAGCTCTGAGTTGTGCCAAGCCAGTAGTCTTTTGCTCTTTTACAAAGCGATGGCCAGACGACATATGGTTTTGTGTCCTGACCCAAGAACTATATCTGCAGATGGCTATTATTTGTATCGTGCAGGTGCAAAGACTGGCCACCAGAATGTTAGGTTAAGCATGGGTAAACGTATGAAAATGGGTTAGCCAACTTAGAATTATTTTAAATGAAGAAGCGCAGATTGGGAGACGAGTTAACAGTGAAGTGCAAAATCGTTAAGAATCTCCGTGGTCTATAGCCCACAGCTTTTTGAACCAGCTTACACAGATCATTTGTGGGGCAATTGCTTGTAATTAAAACATCAAAGAGCTAAACTAGAAATATTAACTATCTTTTTCACAAATCAGGTTGTGGTTAAATGAAATAGCTTTCCCTCTGCCTTATTAATACGTGAAATTTTAGAGGATTTTAGGCAATGCCTGTATATGAAATTGGCTGACCCTGTTTCCAGGATTTCGTTAAGAGCTCATGTCGTAATAACTTACCCAGTTTCATGAAAACGTATGTTTCTTCTGCTCTTGCTTCTGTTTCCTCCATTATAGATGTATGAACCTCCATTCAGGTCACAGTGCCGGAGGCTCTCTTTCCGTCCTGACACAGTAAACGCAATGAACGTTCGGCGGAAGCTTGTTTCGGACCTGGAAAGTGTCCTCTCTTGTTCTGGCACCATATTAGGTCCACATCTTGTCAAAAGTAATACAAATAACTTCGAGAAGTTAACAGGCTTCTTTTCCCAGAGCTACCCAGTTGAGCTTGAAAAAACCGCTATTAATCAATTAGGCAATTACGATTATAGCTGCACAAATTTCCCGGAATCTTTGTTACAGTTTGACACAAGTGGCGATTGTAATGACTTTGCCTCTTACGTCCTCAAAATAACCGGTTTGTAGGGTTTTCTCCGTGCTTCGTAAACAACGAGGAACTTGAAGTCAGGCCTATTTGACCAATACCGGTCGTACGCAACAAACCATCAGGGTGGTTAACTACAACCCAAACTGTCCAGACTGGCAGGGGAAAGATTCGGGTACCAGTGTTTTTAAAAAAACGCCAAATGAATTAGAGGAAAGTCAGCGGATAAGTGCGCCGTTGGAAATATACATGCTTTAGTTAAACTGGTCAATCTGATGGCGGATAACATAACAACCAAGTCAAAGCGCTAGGTTGAAACTACACGTTTAGCTGTGTTGATCACCGATTATGAAGCGGAGCACTGGAGCAGTGGTTTATAACTGGTCAAAAGCAAATATCAAACAAGCCCGTGGGACAGTTAGGGTGAAAATTACAAGATACAAAGTGTCGCCAAAAGAACGCGCAAGGTACATGAGTCATCACGAGGTTTGCAGCAGCAATTGTATGAGTATTCCGGCTTGAAGTTTATGAGGATCATGATACCGTCCACAGTTTGTTCTATAACCATGCCATTATCTGATGGTTATAGGCTATATCACGCAGGGTAAATTCGTCAGCGTATCGTCAAGTCGTCGTTTGAATAAGGCTAAGCTATGAGACATTAATTACATGCATTGGGAGGGAGTTCGATGGCTGTGACACCGGGAGGGCGAAAACGTTTCGTGGACATCTCACTCGGCTGTACTGCATGACCAGATTAAACGGTTTGCTCTTCAGATATGTGTTTTGGACCATTATCAAAAGATGATGAAAAGTGCGGTTGGTCTATTAGCATCTGATACACAATCATGAAATATCCACGTAGACACCTATAACGTCCCGTGTACATTTTTAGTGTTTTAAGCCTCAGTTGGTAGAAAAGACGGAACAAACCTTGGAAATACTTCGCCTTCCTGCGGTGTGCACTATCAAGCACGGTAAAGTAGCGCTTCTACCGGGATTGCAATGCATAAGCAGCGTATCCCGCGTGTGGTCACTTACGCGCCGTGCATTTTCTGAAAGCTCCACGCGCCGAAATTCCCAAGTACCATATGAAGGTAGCTGATGTATTTATTCGTTTATTGATGTCTTTTCAGTCTGCTTTAAACAGCCAATCTCATCTTTCACGAGTACGGTGAGTTCGAACTCAAGAGAAGCACGCTGTAGAACCTATAGCCCTAGTCAGCAGTCGTAAGTGCTCTGAAGATGTATGCTGCAAACTTTGCACTTGGTGGCGTTAAACTGCAGTATGCTCTCGGTTGACTATGTGTATGCTTCCTCCAGATAATTTTGCAGGCCTTTGGAATCCTTCAGTATAGTAATAACATGCAATATCTTTACATCATCGGTTAATAGTACGATATAAAATTTAGCACCCTCGTGAGATCATCTATGAAGGCTCGAAACAGCAATGGCGCAGAGTACCGTCTTGTGGTATGTCAGCTACCATTGTGCAAAACATTCATGTTCGTCTAAATGTAGGTTATATTCAACCCACCCGGAAAAAACCAATCACTCACCACATGATATACAACACGTGATTCGCTACGACGTCAAAGCAGCCTTTTTACCTCTATCCATTACCACATCCGCGTTGAAGCACGTGACAACCATGGGCCATGAGAATGCACTTTTTCTCACACCCCCTCAAAGCCCATATACTTTGCATTCTTTAAGGCAACGTAACGCAACTAGAACG